TTCGACTTCTCGGTGAAGGAAAGCAAGGCTGAACCAGATGCTAAGAACAAGAATAAGAAGAACTTTGGGAAAGCACAATTTCGGAACTCCTCTAAAGGATATGAAAATACTCCAGAGTCTCGGGCTGCTCGTGATCAGTATTCGGACAACGTCAGGACAGGTTATCATGTTGTTTATTTCGCCGGAGCAGCCACCATATATGAAGAACTGAAAGGAAAGGGAATTATACCAGACCCGAGGCCTGTGAGAACTCCTGAAGACAAGTTGGACAAGACTCGGTACTGTGCGTACCATAAGTTTCCAGGACACAATACCGATGAGTGTCTCGGTCTTTTGTCGGCACTCTTACGTTTAATCGGACAACCCCAGCTTCAAAATTTTCGAAATTTTGATAATCGCCGGAAAGGAAGGCCTTTGGATCTTTCAGACGATGAGGATGAGGACAACCGACCTGCTAACCAGAAAAGAGCTCGTGCAAACAATAAGGAGGTTTTTACGTTTTCTACTCATGTCGGAACCTCGACAGATAACCACAGGAAACCTAAGATACGTGATCCCATAGATGCTTCACATTGTATACCTCGAGTCAACTCCAATAACAAACAGTTAGATACGTCTCGACGGAAAATCAAAGCCTATGCTCGGGAGGCACAGAATGCCGAGAAACGAGTCATGAATGTTGATCTTCGAGATACCATCAACAAACGGAATTGTCCTATCACGTTTAGTATCGAAGACGCTAATTTATTCGCTCACCCTCATTCCGATGCTCTTATCATAACCGCCCCGATTGGAGGGATCCCTGTTCATCGAATCTTGGTCGACACAGGAGCTTACTCAAGCATTTTGATGCTCCGCACCTTCAAGAAATTGGGTTTGGACCCAGGAGACATTAGGCTGTGTAACGACCAAATTCAAGGTTTCAATGGAAGCATTTCTTGCCCTGTTGGCGAAATATTGCTCCCTATTCGGTTTGGTGGCTTTGGACCGAAGTCCAAGATCATTATGGAAACTTTCAAAGTCTTGGATGTCCAGAACGAATATAATGTTGTAATAGGACGAACCACACTTTATAAACTTCGTGCTGCTGTGTCAATTTTTCATTATGCCCTGAAGTTCCCCACCATTGAAGGAGAAGGCACTCATTACGGAGATCAACGAGAAGCCCGAAGTCTCATGTTGCTCTCAACCTCGCGCAGCTTTCATATGATGAAAGAACAAGATGCTAATAACTCCGTTGAGCCAAATAATTCAACTTCTGATGCTGAAAGAACTGACCAGTTCATCCTGGATACCGACATGCCTCAAGCAGATACCGACGTGCCGCTTGTCGATACCGACGTCCCTATGACGTCGGTTTTACTTGAAACATCAACTAAAATCCTCGATCAAGAACAACCTTTTCATGAAGGAGACATAGAAATACACGAAGATATGGACCCAAGGATGCAGTTCAAAGATGGAAGTCATCACGTCTGGGCGGAACCAGTTGAAGACATCGAAATCATTTACGTGGACGGATCGGCTCAGCAGAAATCGCTGCGCATTGGGGCCAACCTGCAAGAACCCATTCGGTCAAATTTGATTCAGTTTCTCCAGTCAAACACTGATGTGTTCGCTTGGAAGCATGAAGATATGAAAGGGATTGACCCACAGAAAGCATGCCATCGTCTCAATTTGGACAAAACTGTCAAGCTCGTTATTCAGAAACGTCGAAAATTCGGCCCAGACCGCCAGAAGGCCCTTGAAGAGGAAGTAAACAAGCTCATAGATAATAAATTTGTCAAAGAAGCCAAGTACCCGACGTGGATATCAAATCCTGTTTTGGTCAAGAAAGCCACCGGCCTTTGGCGTCTGTGTATAGATTTTTCAGACTTGAACCAAGCATGCCCGAAAGATAGCTATCCCATTCCACACATAGATTACATGGTAGACGCTACGTCGGGGCACCAACTTATGAGTTTTCTGGATGCCTATTCAGGCTATAATCAGATTCCCATGCATCCTGATGACGCTGAACATACCTCGTTCTATTCAGCTCGAGGCCTCTACTGCTATGTCATGATGACTTTTGGATTGAATACCGACGTCGTCATGGTTGACGCTGCCCCATTAACTTCAAATCCTACATGGATGGATCCGATCATTGACTATCTTCAAACCGGGGCCTTACCTGAAGACCCGAAAGAAGCTCGTGCCCTTCGTGTTCGTGCTGCTCATTACACCATTGATCAAGGAGCGTTATATAAGCGTGGATATTCTACCCCATTGCTCAAATGTTTGTCAGAGATTGACGCTCAATGAATCCTGCAAGAAGTACACGAAGGAGTCTGTGGTACTCACCAGGGAGCTCAAACTTTGTCTCACAAAATTCTCCGACAAGGCTACTACTGGCCTACCATTAGGAAAGACGCTACAGATTGGGTGCGACGGTGCCACAAGTGCCAAATATTTGCTCCTAACGTTAACCAACATCCTGAACTCCTTAAGTCGATATATAGTCCATGGCCGTTTGCAAAATGGGGAATTGATTTGATCGGCCCACTTCCGACAACAAAAGGGGGAGTTCGGTTTGCTATTTTAGCCGCCGATTATTTCACCAAGTGGGTTGAAGCTGAGCCCCTTGTAACCATCACGGAGCAAAAAATGGTGGATTTTGTATGGAAATCAATCGTTTGTCGGTTTGGAATTCCGAACTCTATTATAACCGACAACGGTCGTCAGTTTGAAGGCAAGCGATTTGAAAGTTTTTGTGAAGAGTACGGCATCAAGCATTTCTTCTCGTCACCTTACCACCCACAAGCTAATGGACAGATAGAAGCTGTAAACAAGATTATCAAGAATGGCCTGAAAACTCGACTTGAAGCTGCAAAAGGATCATGGCCTGATGAATTTCCTTATGTCCTCTGGTCTTATCGGACAACGACGAGAAATTCAACTGGGGAAACTCCGTTTTCGTTAGCTTACGGAACTGAAGCTGTAATACCGGTTGAACTTGCTTCTCCGACATATCGGGTCACTCATTTCTCTGAAGAAACCAACTCAGCAAACTTGAAAACCAATCTCGATTTGGTCGATGAGTTACGGGCGGACGCCGAAATTCACAATGCCGCATATAAACGACGTAGTGAAAAGTACATAAACTCAAGACTCAAGCCACGCTCATTTGTCAAAGGAGACCTTGTTCTGAAAAGAGTCACTGGCGCCAATGTCGGCCCGTTACAACCGAAGTGGGAATGACCCTTTAAAATAAATCGTCCGATTTTTAATGGCACCTACCGACTTGAGACGTTAGACGGTGTTCCCCTTCAATATCCCTGGCACACGACGTATTTGAAGAAATACTACCAGTAAACCTGATGGCCAAGGTTCTGTCCCTGACATGTAAAAAAGTTTTTGTCCTACTCCTATACAAGAACCATGTTTTGCTATCAATAAAAATTGTGTGGCGAACTTCTGTAATTTGTTCGATCACTCGGACCACAATAAATCGGTCCTCGTTGCTAAGGCTAAACGTGTTTCATACCCTGAAGATGGTATGACCTAGCCAAACGCAACAAAGCCGGATACTTCCAAGCCCTAAAGATGGTTTGGGGAGGCTTATGCTCTATAATATCAAATCCCGACGTTGATTTGGTGAGCCCGCAATAAGTGTTTACAGTACAAAGCAAGTCTTTTATGACTTGTTCTAATAAAGAGTTTGCGGATGTCGGACAAACTATAAATTATGCCGACACCAAAAATTTAACCAAAAATGTGATATCAAATCCTGACGTTGATTTGATCAACTAACAATAAAATTCTTAAGTTCTTTGAGACATTCAAGGACTTATTGATGTCGGAAATACTGTAAGATTACGCCGATGTACGTAATTCATATAGATTATCACTAATGTTATGTCGGAAACTTTAATCTGATGAATACTTATTCACTTTTTCCGACATACTCTGACTTGTTACAATAATAAGTCAAGATAAAGCATTCACAAAAATATTTCATTCCTCAAACATTAATATTTCATTCCAAAATCAAATATTGTCAGTACATTCCCAGAAAAAGACAAACAAACAACAAAACAAATTAAAAACATTAATTTTCTTTGGTCCCTGACGATGACGCCCCTCCTACATTGGAGAGTTGAGGATTCTCAGTCTCAGCCTTGTCCTTGTCAACAGCGTCCATATGCTCAATCAACCTTTGGCTTAAGCGC